CAAAGGGTGGAAATAGTAGAGACTTGTTCCTTCTATTTTTGTTTTCTTTTTATGAGAGTAGAGAGACTTGTTCCTCCTAAAGAAGTATTAAAATAAAATAAAATGGTAGGTGAAAATATTCGAAACTATAATCATCAAATCAATTAGGTTTGGACAGCAGTTTTACAGCGCATCACTTGAGTTGTTTATGTAATTGCCAATAGACTCTTTCCAAGCCTTGCTTCTACTTTTTTCTTTCAATTCTCTTTTATCACATTAAGATAAACTTAATTAAGGTGAATTGTAAAACAATTAAGAGAAATTGCCCTAATTATACAAAATAAAATAGAACTATAGAGAGTATTTTTTATTTGAATTAGTTTTATTTGAGTTACGGTCAGATATTAGATACTATTCAAATTTATTTTATTAAATAGTTTAATAATTGAAATTCATCATTTAAAGATGAATAAATGAATATCGCGAATGTAAATTTATATTTTATTTTTTATTTCAGAACAACTACCTTAGCAACACTATATTCAAACTTTGATTAGCTATATTGTGGAAATTTAGCACATTTTGCTAAACTCATTTTCTATTAGTATTTTGGAGGTTGTTAAAAAGCAAGAAAGAAAAGGATTAAAACATGACTTATATGAAAAGAAAAAAAAACAACCTCTATGGTTGCAAAACCAAAATTTAACACTAGTAGAACCACTCCTCTTGTGTCCCTCTTAAAAGTCAACACCATTTTTACAAAGATACAATCAAACAAATCATAAGCCACTAAGTTTGACTTTTACACCTACAATGTGGCAGCCACTTTGATCATTTGCCTCTCCATTAAGACTAAGACATATCACCTTTTCTTATGCCAATTAGGCCATCTCAAAATTCTATCATCAATATTCTTCCTTCCTCTTCTTTCTACTTCATTTCGCCTTCATCTCATCAACACCTTTCTCTTTCTCCATAATCTTATTCTTCTTAGTTCAAACATATGAGTAATATGGAAAGATATGAATTAGATATAGTATGTAATTGTAGAGGTTAATCTTCAGTCGCGGATACTTTTCAATTTTCATCATCTCTACACATGTCTCCATCTTTTCTTCAACCCCATTGTTCCTTCCTCATCAACATCTTTCTCTTCCTCTCACTCTTCTTCTTGATCCCTATCCGTGTCAATAGTGATGCTAAAAGCTACAAATCTTGTGCACCTTTTACCTGTGGAAGTTTCACCAACATCACTTATCCATTTTGGATTAACAACAAACAACCAAATTATTGTGGCCATCCAAACTTCACGCTCGATTGTCAGAAAAACAACTTGACTATTGACATCAACTCACAAAAGTTTCATATCATTGATATGAATCAAACATCACAACTTTTGAAGATTGCTAGGTTGGATTTATGGAGTTATGATGCTGCAATTGTTCCTTCTTGTCCTGATACCAATGTAAGCTTAAATCTGGATTTCTTCAAGTACACTTCCAAGGATGAGAAGTATACTCTATTGTCCGACTGTCACTCTCTTCCTACCGATACATACGGGGGGTCGCCTTTGAGTTCAGAAGTTTCTCAAAAGATTTCTTGCCTCATAGATAGGGAACCTCAAGATGCATACTTAATAGTAAGTACTAAAATGGCGGATTTCGCGGGCCTAGAGTGTAAGAACAATATCAAAGTTTATGGACCAAAAAGCTCTATCATAGAAAATTCTGATACCTCGGTGAATGTTTTAAAGGAAGGATTTGAGGTTGCGTGGAGCGATGTGGACAACGATATATGTAGTTATTGCAAAAAATTTGGTGGGAGATGTGGTTACAATACAACCAAAAGTGCATTTATGTGTATTTGTCCTAATCAACAATCTTATGGTGATTGCGGATTTTGTCGCGACAATTCAACATCTGACACTTGGCCGGATGAGTCTGGTTGCATAGGATCTAAGTTGTTTAACTCTGTGGCACCATCACCTCTAGAAGCACCACCATATGGATTACAACAGCCATATGGAGATACACCATTTCAAGCATCAGACCCATCTTCTAATTCAGATTCAAAAAAGTCCGGCACTTCGAGTAAGTATTCTTCCTTCTCGCGATATTTTATTAGATTCTTCAGTTGAATAACCTTAACCTTAACCTTAAAGTGCATTTAAAGAATTTATTTAGAGTTTATAAGCTACTTTTAGCTTATTTCAATAAGCTGTGCAGTTTAGAACTTATTTACTAACAGTTTATTAACAGCATTATCTATTTGATTAGAAATACTTAGAAATAATCACTTGGATATGAACATCTTCATCCTTTGCTAGGTGAAATTGGATTTTAGTTTGGAATCCAAAACTGTTTATTAGGACTTAAATCCACTCTGGCTTCATAGCATGATGTAGAATGGTTTTGTTGCTTCTTCAAAATTGCATTTTGGTTAGAATGATTCTCTTTGATATTTTTATTCATCATGTGTAGATGTTTTTATAGTTATATTATTATATGTAAATAAATTAAAATAGGGTATGAAACTATTTTCGACTTTGTAATAAGATACTAACGTGTTCAAACTTTTAAATGTGATTTATAGTTGGCGGACATTGACTTTTAAAGATTAACTAGTATGAATAATGAACATAAACACATAAAAAAGTCATATTAGTTGTTGGATTTAAAAATATAGGATTTGATGGGAAGATGATAGCAACTCTTACCAAACGAATATAAAAGGGAAACATGCTCCCATATGGTGTTGAAATTTTCAAACAGGGAAACCTAAATTTGTCTCTCAGTTTAATCTTAAGATATATTTTAGTCATTGAGAAATTAAAACTTATTTATTTCATAAAAAATTATTCATGAGTAGAGTCTAAGTAGTTTTTTTGTAAGGAAAAAGACATAATAATCAATGACTTATAGTTTGTAGTTTAAGGAAGCACTTAAGGAAAAAGACAGATTTATGTTTTGTCTCTATAGTTGTTGTTCCTATTTTTGATTCTGTCTTCCAAGTTCCAACCTCTATGTCGCTTTCTTTAAGACCTGCCAAATTATGCAAAGCAGTCGAATTTACGAAAACAGCCCGTTCAAACAACTTACGATTATCAGTTGCACACTGATAAATCGCTCTAGAAATACACCTTTCAAAGTATCTGGTTAAAATAACCAGTCAAGAAAAGAGAAAAATTATAGATGAAGAGAATTAAGGAAGAGAAGAGGGAAATCAAAATTCATGAATTTGTGAAATCCGGAGTGCTTACTACTGAATTTCTACCCTTTATTTATAGGCAGCTAGTAAGGCTTAATTTTCATTCCCGTCAATGTGAGACTAAAATGAATTTTAATTTCCATTCCCTTCAATGTTGGACTAAAATGAATCTTAATTTTCATTCCTTCAATGTGGGACTAAAATGAATCTTAATTTCTATTCCTTTCAATGTTGGACTAAAATGAATCTTAATTTTCATTCCTTCAATGTGGGACTAAAATGAATCTTTTCAAATTCACTTATATATTACTTCTTACTTGTGTTGATTTATTGCCCATTAATTGTCAATAAATCTTTCCAATTCTCACTCTAATTAATATAGTTCCAACCATTTTTGGTATAGATAATTAGGGCTGGCAATGAACCAAACCAACTCGAAGATAGTTCAGAATTCGACTCGACAATTAAATCGTTGAACTAGGTTCATGAACCAAATGAGTTGAGTATGAGCGAAAAATTAAGTTCGTTAACTAAATGAGCTGAACTTGAACTATACATAGTTCGACTCGTTAGGTTCATGAGTCAACTCGATTACATATGAAAAGAATTATACTGTCCTTAAGATTAGGTTTAAATATTTACTTCAAATCTTAGACAAATTTAATCTTCAATTTATTAGTTTTTGAATTAGACTCTCAAATGTATCTCTTGAAAGTTGTGTAGGTTTTGAATTAGTAGATTTCGAAGATAAAGTTAAATTTCAATATGATAACTTTTATTTTATTTTAATATTTTATTTAAAAATATATATATTTATTTAAAATGTCAAATATACTAAAAAATATATATATTTAAAAAAATAGTTTTTAAGTTCGTGAACCATGTGAGCTGAACCTAATGAGATGAACCTAACGAGTCGAACCGAACTGTTCGTGAACTTATAACGAGTCGAGTTTGAGCTTAAAAAAAAGTTCGTGTCGAACTCGAACTCGAACTCGAATTCGAACAATTCTTAACGAGTCGAGCCGAGCTGAGGTGAGTTCGACTCGACTCGACTCATTTCCAGCCCTATAGATAATGAAACTAACCATTCTTGCATCATCACAAATTGTTTATTTGGACACCAAATTAATAAAATATTCTAAATAAAGCTAAAATTGCCTATAAAAAGATAGAGCTGTGATACTTTTAAATTGACTCTAGCCTTTTTGGTGAAGAGTTGATTTTTCTTCCTGCTACTATATATTATGCTGGTGTACTAAAACCCTTTGAATAGAAATCTTAGCTCAATTTATAGAAACACACCAAGTGCGTATTTGGAAACGTGGTTGGCCACCGCCACCTCACATTTCACACCCTTGCAAAAAAATGTTTAAATCGATTGTGCCTAAAATTTAAGAGGTGTGCTATGTTGACACCATATTTCTTTACACCGTAGTCTACACTGTATATCAAAGGAAAAGAAAATAGCATTGCACAAAAATCAATGCAAAATAAATTATTTAAAAATTCAACTAGTATCTTGTATGTATACGCTTACTGTGTAAGTGTTAAAAAAAATTGTTAAAATATCATTTCTGAAAATTTAATCGTAAATATATTGAAGTTTGAAAAAAGTGCCTTTCTTAGTCTAAATTTGAATTAAAAAGAAAAATAAATGGCATGGAAAGAGAGTGGAAATTTCATGGGTGACTTTTCAGTTGACTCTGAGGCGGACTGCGAGCATAACTAAACTTAAGTATAATGAACTGAATTGCCTTAAAACATAACCTCCTCCTCTTCCTCCTGCTGTTGTCTTCATCGTTCTCAACATAATGGATAATCATATTAATATTCCTATGCTCATCTCTTTCTTTTTCTTCTTGTTACCACAACTATCTCTATCAGATTATGATTATTCCATTTGTAGAGATGCTGATCACTTCTACAACTGTGGTCATCTCTCCCACATCTCGTATCCATTCTGGGGACATAATCGTCCTTTTCAATGTGGCGCAGGAACTCCGTTTCACCTTATTTGCAATGAAAAAAGCGTTACTACCATTCTAATATCCTCACAGAATTTCACAGTACTTGAAATCAACACCACAGCCTACACCATCAAACTCAAAAGAACAGACTTTTCTCTGAATCTCTGTTCGCCTCAATTTAATAGTAATTCTTTGTTTTCACCTCTGTTTCAAAGTGTCAATAACATTATCATATTCTACAACTGTACTTCCTCTCCAATTTTACCTGCTGAAGATTCTCTATGTGGAGCTCCGAATCGTGCATTTGGTCATGTTGCTCATTCTGATTATGGCTATGAGCATATAGAAGAATCAATGAATTGTACGGGACATATTACAGTGCCAGTAGGTGCAGATTTTCCTATAAAGAACAATATTTATGGTTATTTTGAGCGTCATGTTCTTGAAAAAGGTTTGGATAAGGAGTTTGAGGTGAGTTACAGTGTGAATGGGGAATGTTTAGATTGCTCCAAAAATCAAGGAGATTGTGAGTGGAATGATGATATTGAGAAACAGTTAGACTCCTCTTGCTATTATTGCCCATATGGTTCTATTGCTTATTCCGCAGACTGTTCATCTTATTACAAAAGTATGTTTTCTTATTAAATCCTACTTATGACTTTTCAAATTCCTTCAAAAACTCTTATGCATCTTAACTATTAGATTTTGGTGTTGTTTGCTCAAATTAGAGAATCATGTTTGCATCAACAAGTGTTTTATTTTGCTAGCTATCAAATGTTCATGAGAAAGTAAAAAACAAATTAGGACTCTGTTATTTTCTAGTTAGTAATAATATGTTCAGTTTATTGAAAATTTGGCCATATGTTTGTGGAACAGAGCAATGAATTGGTTGAAGCTTATCTGCATATACATTTAATTAGGATCACAATTTTTATTCTAGGTCTAGATTTTCACTGACTCGGTCAAGGAAATAATAATAATGAAGGAATTAGGTAATGTGACTTGTCCTTCAATTTACTTGACTTAATCAGCTTATCTGGAAACAACTACTACATCTTACTGTTAAGGGTATATTGGTGATTTCATTTGTCAAACAAGTTGTTGAATTGCATTTTGTATGCATGTGCAATCAAGTCTTGTTTTCCTTCTTTTTGTTCCAACACGTCTTTCACAATCATACACTTCATTTTCTACTTTCTCCTTTTTTCCATCACAAATTACTTTCACAAACTAAAGTCATCCACTCATTTTCTCCATGGAAAAGACTAATAATAAGTTTAAATTCATAAATCTTGATATTACTATTCAAATAGCTTCTGATCAAAACTGTCTAAAATTTATTTATTAAGAATTTCACGTGAGAGTATAGTATCTACTATGAACATGTGCTTATAAATTGGAATAATCTTTATTCTACAAATCGGTTTTGTAAGAACGCGTTAGGCCTAAACCAGAACTCTTAGGATGATATTAAAGTCAGATTTAAAATCTGTTGGATCACTTGTTATCAGATTTCTGCTATCGGACTATCCATCAATTATTTTCACTCTCCCGATGTTTGGTACTAAACGTGAGGGAATGTGTTAAGAGTATGGACAGTCTCCCTACAAACCCGGCTTGCAAACTTCTATTGTCAAGTATAAAATGTGAAGGCAAACTTCTACTGTAAGGCACTGCACCTACTTTCTACTATAGACGTTTTGACAATTATTATTGATACTCCACCTATAAACTAAAACAACCTTAACAATATCACAAAAAAGTCATTATCAAAATATGAACCACCATTTGATATTTCTTCATTTCTTCTTCCATTACAACAAACCTCAACAAAACATTATCATTATCATCTTGTTAATTACAACAGTTCAATCTATTAATCCAAAATTTGAGGCATGCACACCTCAAACCTGTGGAACAGGTCCCTCCATAAAGTATCCTTTCTGGATTCCTTATCAACAAGATTCATTTTGTGGCCATCCACAATTTGAGATCAATTGCGAAAACAACAATCCAATTCTCAGAACTTCAAATTATAAACTTTTAGTAAAACACATCGCTTACTCAAACTCTTCATTCACCGCAATCAACATAAATGTTTATGAGAAAAACTGTCCTGCTCCTATGCATAATTACAGTCATGTCCTCGATCAAACTCCATTTACATATAGTTATGAAAATTTCAATCTCTCTTTCTTCTACATCTGTACAACAGAGCCTATAGATTATCCTATATATAAAGTAGAGTGTGGAAAAAATGCTACACGTTATTCTTTTGCTGTTTTTCATAAGGGGGCACTTGATCACAAAAACTATTCCTTAAATGAGTGTGAGTTTATGGTTAATGCTCCTTTGGTGCTGAATACTACTGTTAATTTCACTAGTTTGTTGAAAATGAATTATATTGATATTTTGAAGACGGGGTTTGTTTTGAATTGGATTGCACCTGGTTGTCAATATTGTGAGAAAAGTGGTGGAAGATGTGGATTTGATAATTATAAGTTCTTATGTTTCTGCAAGGATAAGTCCTACCTCAAAATTTGTGGTGGCGACGATGGTAACACTTTTGGAAATATTCTTATAGTTAGTTTTGTGTGAAGCTCTATTCATTTCTTTTACTCTTTTGTGTTGGAACACACTTCCTCAAAATGCACATATTTATGTTTGTTACACACAACTAAAATATTCCCTTTGAATTAGAAAAATGTTAACTCATCTTTGCTTTCACAACTTACTGTTGCAGATAAAAATGCGAAGAGGAGACTCGTCATTGGTAATAAATCACTTTCTCTAATTCTTTGTTATCACTTTTTTACTTTTTTCGTGAAAATACTTTGTTATCGTAGTTTACTGATTTAAATTTCATATACTTTTTGCTAGTTGTTGGTTCTGTTGTGTTGGGAGCGTTTGCAGTGATCGTAGCCATATATTTCTTCTATAAGCGCAGGAAGAATAAAACTTATGCAAAATCATATGTACAGTCTCGCAGCCTCTCTTCTGAGCTCACTTCAAAGGATCTTGAGAGTGGAAGTCAATACTTTGGAAGAAGTCAAAACTTTGGAGTGCAACATTTTACATATAGTGAACTTGAAGAAGCCACAAACTACTTTGATCCGTCCAAAGAACTCGGAGAAGGAGGCTTTGGAACGGTGTATTACGGTAAAATCTAAAATCTTTTCGTAGCAGAAATGGATTCCTTGCAGTTAATAGTTCGTTTTGTTTATTGTATTTAGAATTTTTATACTTAATATGATCCTAAGGAAGATATCTGTCGAATGATGTTTCGTGTTTAGGAAAACTGTATGATGGGCGTAGTGTTGCGGTGAAGAGGTTATTTGAGAACAATTACAAAAGAGTTGAGCAATTCAAGAATGAAGTTGGAATCTTGGCATCATTAGTCCATCCAAATCTTGTGTCTCTATACGGATGCACTTCACGCCACAGTCGCGAACTCCTACTTGTCTACGAGTATGTTTCTAATGGAACTGTCGCTGATCATCTCCGTGGTAAACACGCGAAACAAGGAAAGCTTACTTGGCCTGTTAGAATGAATATTGCTGTGGAGACAGCAAGTGCGTTGAAGTATCTTCATATTTCAGAAATCATTCACAGAGATATAAAAACAAATAATATTCTTCTCGACGCTCATTTTCATGTCAAAGTAGCCGATTTTGGACTCTCGCGCCTTTTTCCGTATGATCAAACTCATGTTTCAACGGCTCCACAAGGGACTCCGGGTTATGTGGATCCCGAGTACCATCAGTGCTATCAACTTACGGATAAAAGTGATGTCTATAGCTTTGGAGTTGTGATGATTGAGTTGATATCATCTTTGCCTGCGGTTGATATAACGAGACATAGGCATGAAATCAACTTGGCTAGCATGGCACTCAACAGAATTCAAAACCAAGCATTGCATGAAATTGTGGATCCTATGCTCGATTTTGAATCAGATGCTAAGGTAAAGAAAATGATAGTTGCCATGGGCGAGTTAGCGTTTCAATGTTTGCAAAGTTCGAAAGATCTGAGACCTACCATGGATGAAGTGTTGGAAAGTTTAAAGGATATTCAAAATGGCGGTAAGCATAAAGGCCAACCCGAGGTAATGGACATTTCGAGTTTATCTGATGATGCTGTGCTGCTGAATCATGCACCACCTCCACTATCACCTGATTCGAATGTTCGGAGCAATTATACAACACCGAATACTAGTACATAAATCGGTTCGGTTTGATATGTTCTTAACCCTTCATCCATACAAGGTTTATATTTTTGAAATTTTGCAATCATCAAGTTTTTCAAACCGGTAGCATCCACCAAATTGCAGCCAGATAACTTTTGAAATCGAGATGTATATATAGATGATATAAAGTTGCGTTGGTTATGAAACTTCATCTCTTAGATGATTTTATTTAGATGTTTAATAGTATGTATTTTTTTGTAATACTTACAAGTTTATATACGATGAATTTCTTTTCTTTCTCTTTTTTAATAATATTTTGGGATTATCATAATTTGAATGGTGATTTACTATTACAATTTTATATCAAAATTGTTAAATAAAAATTGTATCAATCAAAAGCCCTGAATATCCAGTATTTATGGTTTTCAATAATATTTTGTATTGATGTTTGATATCACAAACGAGAAATGAAACATAACTACTTGGAAATATTTACCTCAAAATTGTGTGGTGAAATGAAACATGACTACTGGAAATATTCACCTCACAGATATGTTGTTATGACTTGAAGTACACGATATCTAACCAGCATATAATCATTTATCATAATGGATTATTATAACTAACTTATCATAATGGATTATTATAATAACCTGAGCTGCAGAAACAGTCCCCTTCATATTTCATTTACTGCTGCATATAGCATCGCAATCATGACGAAATGCTCTTTTGAGGCCGCCTATAAGGTGTTTGTTAAAATTTCTCAACCAGAATTATTTTACATTGAGTAGGGGCCTTAGGCACTTACGAAAGGGAAGACTAGGTGTCAAGGACATCACATCTGACATCAGGAATAATTATGATTCTCAAAAGAGTACTAGAACTGAAGAGAAGTCAGATCAAAGTAAAGGGATGCAGTGTTATAAGTGTGAAGATTTTGGTCACATTGTCAGAATGTCCCAACTATCTCAAGAAACAAAAAAAGGGTTTGACTATATTTTGGTCTAATGATGATGAGTCAAAAAATGAATCAAACACAGAGACTTTCAAACTTGTTACTCCTCTCTGTTCGAACTCCTATGAAGCGGCAAGAAGAAGAAAATTAATTTTGGAAGGATTCCCTCCGGGATTTATATCATCTCCAAAGGGATCGGTGCGAGGGAAAGAATATTGTTCAACAGTATCTACATTTTTAAGCTTGTTGTGAAAATTTGTTGGTAGATCAAAGGTACCATAAATAAAGGCAGAAAATATAAAGAAGGAAAATATAGAGTAAAGACTTAAAATATAAATGGAGCCTTGATGGAATTGGATCTCATCAATTGTTAATACATGCGTTCTTTTAACCAATTAAACACAAATCAATCATTCGCCTAATATCCTCAAGTATCACCCACAACAGAGGTTATATCTAACGCAACATCGGGAGAACAACCGTACCGTCTCATTGGTGATGTCTCATGCAACTCAATAACACAGAGTATTAAGAACTGATACTCTAGTAAATGTTAAGCCTAAATCTATGTCTAGAGTCTAGAACCTAATAGATAATCATCCTAGATCCAGATCTGAAGAGTATATTTCTATAACGGTTCAAATCAAAGATAAACAGGTAAACAAAGATAACATTCATATGAGATCCATGATTGATTCATATAAAACGCCATGATTAGAATACGTACATACGCCTAACCCTTTTTACATGTATTCAACTAATTTGTCAAATGTAAGTGAACATAGTTTCTCATCTCTATTATCACGCATCCTCACAATACCATATTGATCCCTACTCATGCTAATAATCAACACAATAAAATCAAAGATACTAGTGAATATCATCTTACAAGGCTATGTCAAAAGTTTGCTCATTGATTGATGAATATCTAAGATCTAAGATTTGAAAAGGTTTTGTCAAGACAATCCAACTTGCCCCAATCTAGCTCTTGGGAGTACTTGCTCTGAACAGCTTGCTACGAGAATACTTCGAGAACATTTGCCCCAGTATCTGTACGACAACAGAATTCAATCTCCATAGACTCAGTTGGTTTCAACACTCTCTGCGATGACTTGCCCCTGAATGAGCGTTCTAGCGACTTAACCCGATCTGATTATCCACTGGCAGTATCTGCTTTCAAATATCCGCATTCTGCATAACTGCTTCCCGAGAAGACTCGCTTCTGATCAATTGCTTCTCAAATGAACTGCCCCTGATCCACTGAAGCTTCGGGACTTGTCCTCAGACTGACTGATTCCGAACTTACTGGAAGATAATGCCCCTGATTCGCAAGGCTTCACAACATACCCCATTCTGATTCAGACTGCTGAATTACTCAGTCCTGCTTGATTATTCCCTGATGGAATTTCTTCTATGCCAACTACTAACCTGCAATTAGAATCGTCTGTCTACGAATGGTAATCTTAATGCAATGGTTATGCAGATTTTGAAAAAATTTGAGCTGTCACTCAATCACATGCTATGATTGTGAGTGACGAATGAACCAAAGTTCAGACGTAGTGCTTACGTGGTCAGTGAAAAATACAACAAGGATGTGACTAGCAAGTCAAGAAGGAGTCAGGTTACTCAACCTTATCGTAATGCGCTTCAGACTAATCCTACCTCAATTAGGTCTTTTAAGGGTTGTATCGTGGTCGGGTTCACGGTTCGTGAAACAAAGGATATTTGGCTCAAATTTGATTTGTACCCACCCCTTCTTCGTGATGTTCTCCGATCCTAAGGTTCAGTTAACCTGACACAAGCGCTCGCCTCTTCGAGAGGTATGCTGAATGGTAAGAACCATAGTTAAGGAATTCACAAGCTTTTCTTCTAGAGTGATAGTTACTCCTTCTTTGCTTTCGGTGTCTGTGTACACGACTTTGTGACTTGCTGGGGAAAATTTTCTTTTTAACCCCTCTTTTCATTCTTTTGATTCCCTAATTTTTGCCTGGACTGACTCATTTTGAGTTCTCTTCAATTTTTCTTTTTGAAGTCCAGCGGGATGCCCTGATTTTTGCCTAAGTATTTAGCTTTCCAGCTTTTTCATTCTTTTTACTTAGCGGGCTTTCTCATTTTCTTTCTTTTGGAACAAAGTCGTGTGACACTGGTTGTCTTGATTGCTCCGAAAGGATTGTAACTGTCTCACTCCTGATTGGTGAGATTTGACCTCTTGAAAGGTATAAACTGATTGGTCCTCAAAAGACAACACTCTTCTGTAAGACTTGAATGCTCGGTCAAGCTAACTGACAACTACCCTGCCCCGGGTTAAGATGTGAGGGTTTAAAAAGTCCGAAAAAACTTCTACTTCCTGGCTCGAAGTGGTTAACAAGGGACTAACTCCTTATATCTCCAGTGTTTGGGGAATTTGAAACAATGCCTTGTACGTCATCGGTACGGTCTTATCTGAAAGCATACAATCATCGGTTATGAGTTTCAGTTTCGTCATCCTCCCTCCTAACTTTGCTAGTCACAGGGATAAAGTGGAGTGAAGAAAAATGCAAGTGTCAGTGTAATGCAATAAATGAGCGACAGCGACATGACTAATTCAGAAAAATGCATAATCACTTTATTATTATCACCATTCAAAACATACAATGTTTAAAGCAGGTAGTAACCAACAAAAAAAGAAACTACAAATGCAAATGGTATAAAAGTCTGAGGACTGCCAATGCTGAGGCGCCTGCCTGTCTGAACCACTGGCCTTTGCTGGGGAATGCCTTCCGAATCTACGAGCTCAAACAGCTGAGGGGTTTGGATGAACAAACAGAAATCCTTCTCGAAAGGAAATGCGATATTGATCAATCAACTGCTGTACCTTCGCCTGAAATGCTTTACAATCTTCTGTCGAATGCCCCGGAGAGCCACCATGGTAACCACACTGGACGTGAGGATTATACCCAGGAGGGTAAGGTTCTGGCACTGGCTTAAGAGCTTTCGGCTCCACCAAAGACTTCTGGATCAAAGATGGTAGCAACTGGCTATACGGCATCGGCACTAGGTGAAAAGGAGCGTTCCTTCGTTCCAAGTTGTTACGAGGTCGGTTCTGATTCTGACGCTGATTCTGGTAACCTCGGCCACGGGCTCGCTGATTTGCAATGGAAGCGACATAAGGTTCCTGATATGGTGCCCCAGGCACAGCTGTCTGTTCAGAATAACGAGACACAGAAGATACTGACCGCTGAGAAGACGGAGAACCATCAGATTTCACCGATTTGACTTGAGGATATCCAACATTTGTCAGGACCGCATTGATCATAGCTTCATCTTCAGATTGAGAGCTACAGAGAGATTCAGTTTCACTGGCCTGACCTCTTGAAACATACGGGATTCTTCTGGTCCTTACACCATACTCGATGTGCTCTCCCGTCCTTACCAACTCAGTGAAATTTGGTGCGGCTCCAAGCATTCTTTCGAAGTACGGGCTCTACAAGGAATTTACGAACATGCCTTTCAGCTCTTGGTCTAGGAGCGGTGGTTGCACTCTACCAGCAAATTCTCTCCATCTCTGAACATACTTTCTGAAAGATTCATTGTTCCCTTTAGACAATTCTTGCAGCTGCATGCGAATAGGAGCCTCGTCAAGATTATAGTCGTACTGCTTCAGAAAGGCATTGGCTAAGTCCATCCAAGATTGGATCTGATCACGCTCTAACTGCATATACCAACTCAGAGGTGCCCCAGTCAGACTATCTTGAAAGCAATGAATCATCAGCTTGTCGTTGTGCACAAATGAAGTCATTCTTCGGCAGAACATCACCAAATGTTGCTTCGGGCAACTATCTCCTTTGTACCTTTCAAACCTCGGCATTCTGAACTTCGGAGGCAACACTAGGCCAGGAACCAGACACATATCTGCAGCACTAGGAGTAACAGCGTCTTTACCTTTCAAGGCTTTGAATCTCTCCTCTAATGCACGAAACCTTTCAGCATACACGGGAGCTAATGGGTCGTCATTCTTTGCTGTTGGGACCTCTCTTCGGGGCTTTGGCACAGGGAAGGCAAAACCCTGGTAGTCTGAGACATCAACAGAAGGAGAACGTTC